GAGAGAGAGAGAGAGAGAGAGAGAGAGAGAGAGAGAGAGAGAGAGGTTATTCTGTATGCCAACTCATGATTTTTGTTGCAAATCTCACAATATTTGATGTATTTTACTTCCAAAAGCTCCTGGAATCACTTGATTACATGAGAAACTCATTTAAAAAACTAAGTTTATGTTCTTTATGAAAAGCTTGTAAAGACTTAGAAGGCTGAGACTGGTTTTAAAAAAGGCAAATAAAGAGATTCCCAGAATTATTGTTTATTAAAATTTCATCATTTTTAAGCCAGTCTCACAATCCTTTTCTGCCAGACTCATGGTATTTGGATGCTCAAAGCTAGCAATATTGAAACAGACGGACTAGCTCTGAAATATTCTGCATCTGAAATGAAACTCAAGGGACCAGATTCTTTCCCATCTATTAGACATGAAAGTGTAGGTAGGTGCATAAGTGTGATTCATTGGACCCTCTTGGAGTCCCAGAAAATTGTTTATACAAAAGGGCTAGGAACAGAAATTATACACAGTCTGGTATAAGTGACTGGAAATCAGTTCAAATCTGTAACATAACAGAAGTTCAGTGCACACAAACTGCTTTCAAAGTGGCCAAAACAGGTTTAAGATAAACCTGGGTGGATGTAGTATCAGATTTAACTGATCTAAGTTAAATCCATTTATTGAACTTCTGTCCTAGATCCCCTCCAGATTCAAGTTAACTCCCAGTCTCCCAGCATCCCAGGATGCCTTGCACTTCTCCTGCAAACCCCCCATCCCAGGGTGGCCGGGCTAGCATTGGCCCAAGCTGTTCTCCAGCCAAGCAGGGAACCATGCTTTAGTGCCTCCACCGTCTTCTGGCCTCGGCCACAGTAAACATGTGGCTGCATTTCTAGAATCAAAAGTGAACGTCTGTTCACTTGATTTTCAGTTCAATTTACACAGCTTAGTGAAGAATGAATCGATTCAGCCTTGGGCTTTTTGACTGTCCTGCTTAGCCAAGGTAGGTTCTCTTTCTTCTCCCTGCTTTTTTGTGACTCAGCCTTAAAGGTCAAATGATGGTGTATTACAAAAGTAGCTGCGTTAATGAATTTTCAGGGATGTGAACAGAGTAGAATAGCCTCGCATTTAAGCACCCAACTTCCTCTCAAATCAATGTCCATTAATTTTTAATAGAATCTGCCCAAATGGCAGCGGCAGCATAACTACCCACTTTAATAGGAAGGGAGACTGTATATACAAAGAGAATGAAATTACATGACTATTTAGGGCTGTGCAAAACAGCACTGTTCTGTTTCAATGTTTTGATGGGATGGTGTTTCGTTTTGAGTTTCATTTAATTTCAAAACTGCTGTTCCGTTTCATTTTGTCTAAGCTGTTTCACTGTTTCGATGCTATTTTGACTTTTTGCCCATAGGCTATAGTGGAGAAGGCTGAAACTGCTTATAACTTTATCAATTCTTTCCTGATTTGGATGAAACTTGCCAAGATGGTAGCTCCTTCTGAGGCCATGAAGTCTGCCAAGTCTCAAAGAGATAGGTGCTGCAGTTTCTGGGAAACTGTACCTCAAAGTCTTGAAAGCAGAATGTATTGTGTGTGTTATGGCACAGTGGAGTGAAAACTGCAGGCATGCTAGGCCCTGCTGAGGCCAAGGAGCCTGCCAGTTTTCATGGATATAGGTGCAGGGGTTTCTGGGAAACTGCACCTTAGACTTCTGACAAGCAGAACTCATGACATGAGTGACACTGTGTGTGTGTTAAGGCGTGCCCTCACTGGTACTGGGGCCTCTATATGACACAGTAGTGTGTCCCAATGAAGCCTTCTTCCCTACAGCCTCAGTCCGGTCCACCACTTTACATTTCAATGGGTAATAAAATAACTTAGTGAGCAGGACAGCAGCACTAGCAGCATTTCAGGCAGCCAAACTGTGACAAAGCCTTTCTTTCTGTTCCTGCAGGAGCTTCTTCTCCAGCATGTGTGTTTAGGTGTGCCCTCACTGTGTGACTGTGTGTGTGTTAAGGTGCGCCTTCTACATGACACAGTAGTGTGCCCTAATGAGGTCTCCTTCTCCCCTACAGGCTGGCACGCTACAACCTGCTGGACATCTGACTCCCCAGGTACCTCTCCATTTTTACCTGTGCTGCTACATCCCCCTTCCCTGCCCCACCCCAGCCTGTCCCTCACCCCTGACACCTCCATTTCCATTTTCACAGACTGGCTTTCTTGCCTGCATTGCATGCCAGTCTCTGGCTTCTTGACTATTCCTTCCATCCAGGATCAGCACACAAACCAACTGCAGGTGCTTCCTCAGCCTGACAAAGGGTTTTTCAACCCAAAAGCTGGCATCCCAGGCAGCTAAGTTGAGCTCACTTGGAGCCTCACAACTTCATTGCAACCAGAAAGCCTCAAGCCAATCAAAGAAGAAATGGGTCTAGGCTTTCCCCAACCAGGGCTGTGTGCATACATGTGGTGACTGGAGGTTACGGTGCCTCCTACCTGCCTTTCACCAGGCAGATCCTCAGTGCTGGCATTTCCTGGGGCTGCTGCACTGCCAGCACTCCCACCAGACCTCCCAACCCTGGCAAAATGCAGTTTTAGTGGTCAAGCCCAGGACCTGGGGACT